GGAAAGGAGAAGGAAGACAAAGAGGAGGAAGAAGAGCAAGGAAGGAAAGGAGGAGGCATAGGAGGAGGAGGAGGAAGTGAAAGAGGAGGAGGAGGAAGTGAAAGAGGAGGAGGAGGAAGTGAAAGAGGAGGAGGAGGAAGAGACGGAGGAGGAGAAAGCGGATGAGGCTTACAGGAAGTGAGATGGGGAGTCGACAGGGAAGAGGGGAGACGGGAGTAGAGAGAGGGGAGAGGGGAGATGGGAGTAGAGAGAGGGGAGAGGGGAGACGGGAGTAGAGAGAGGGGAGAGGGGAGAAGTTGGAAGCAGGAACTTCTTTCAAGCAGCGAGAACCTCCCAAGGACTTAGGTTCTATAAATAGAAACAGCATTGAGGGAGATCGGTGACTTGTTAGTGTCAGTGACCTCAGTTCAGCTTCTAAAAATAGAAACTACTAGGAGGATTTCACTTGTTGGGTCAAAAGCTGGGCCTTAGTGGGTCCCCTTTTTGTCACAGCTTTAGGAGCACTCACGTTAGTTCCGCAGTTTGTCTTCAAACTGGGCCAGGTACATCTTTACTCGCAAGGGCACGTCTGGTATGGATAAGGACGATAAATCTGTACAGGTGCTCGAAAATCTCAGAAAAATCTCGTAACTGGGACGTGAAGGCAAAACGGCCCCACTTGCTTTCCTGTACAGGTGCTCGAAAATCTAAGAAAAATGACCCCATGACCCCATTTCTAATTCAAAGTGTTTGGTTCTGCCAGGACTCTGCCTCGTTTGCTGCCGTTGAAGATGAACTCCAGACCCCATTTCTCTAGTCGTCATCACAGTCACCATCACAATCCTGTCTCTTATACACATCTAGATGTGTATAAGAGACAGGGAGGAGGGATCGGAGGAGGGAGTTGGGGGGGGAGGGGAGTGAAAGGAAGAGGGTGAAATGGAAGACGAAGTGAGGACGTCGCCACACCACTCTCGAAATGTGAACAAGAGAAAAATGTGGCGGGTGCATCTGGCCATGTTCTAGCGGGGAGTTCATTCACATATTGAACATTTCGAGAGTGGTGTGGCCATGCCCTGAGAATGCATGCATGCTTATATACCGTGTGCGGCTGAGGCGATCGTCAGCAACATGTACTCAGTGCCATATATTTATTCAGTGCGAGACTGTGCGACCAAATTTTGATTGAAGGAAAAATGTCATGTGAAAAAAAGATCGTGGCGCGCACGAACAAATCGAAATCAACGGTGGTGCACGCACGAGCAAATCGAAATCAACGGCTTTCAGCATGAAAGTTGTTGATTGTCTGTCTTGTCCATCAAATCGAAATCAACGGTGGCGCACGCGCGAACAAATCACACTGAAAAGACGCCGAGCTCAGCTGAAAAACACGCGCGATCAAAATCGAAATCTTCAATCTTGTTAAAAAAAAAAAAAAAAAGTCGACTTTACTTTCTTTTGAACCATGTGTAGGAGGGCACCGGCGCTACAAGATGTTTCCTTTTTTTTTTTTTTTTTTTTTTTTAAGAAAGAAAGGATACGACTTCGATGATCGATTGCACATCTGACGATCGACCAAACTTGAGTGAGTTCGTTCATCTTGGGCGCCACTCAGACCCGGGCCTGGTTCCTGGCTTGAGTAATAAATACTAGTAATAAAGGACTTTCCAAAAAAAAAAAAAAAGGAAAAAAGGAGTTGAGTGAGTTTTTGAATAAATGCCACTCGATTGTGCGATCGATCGGTTGATAGTGTTTTGGAAAAGGGGCTCAGGTCGTACTCACACTAGGACATTTCAGAATGCACCTGGTCGCGAACCCGTCCAGAGCTGAGTCGAAAATATCCTATTGTGAGTACGCCCTCAACTTTGATTGGCTGATCATGCCATCAGAGATCTGGAGTGTGAACGATCAATCACGTAGAGGAGGAAGAAAGGGGGAAAAAAAAAAGGGGGTGGGGGGGGAGAGAAGGGGGGGGGGGGGGGAATAGGATAAGGAGGAAGGAAAGGAGAAGGAAGACAAAGAGGTTGTGGTGGTGTGACTCAGAGATTGATGGCATGATGTGGATGAACGTGGATGCGCATCTTTTTGGAAAAGGGGCTCAGGTCGTACTCACACTAGGACATTTCAGAATGCACCTGGTCGCGAACCCGTCCAGAGCTGAGTCGAAAATATCCTATT